TAATTACCAAGGCAGAAAGATTAGGACGAGTTCTGTTTTATTAAATAATTGAATATAGTACTCAAATCTACCACATCCTTGCCTTTTTAAAGATATTTGATACAGTGTTGAAGGTCTGTATTTCTAGGATTAATGGGGACAAATGCTTTTCATCTAACATTGTTTGGAGATGTGCCCACATGTTTTCAATTATTGTAGTGCACTGACTTCCTCCCTCTCCAAACTCCTATACATTCTGAAATTTATTGGTTATCTTATTTTTAAATACCTTAGTGGCAGATATTGACATTAGTCCAATAAACTCCACATTTAATCAGATAAGATTTTATCAATAGGGCAAAGGGTGTCTAGACAGAGTATAGCAAAGCACAGCACAGTAAAGGTAACACATGCCCTCCAGCGTAATCCTACTCAAAAGAAAGTGCAACTCGACTAAATGGGGTTCTCATAAATAAATGTATAGACCTGAAGCTTTAATTACCAAATTCAACTTGAAACACGATTATACTAAGATTCCACTGCAGTCTATACAAGTAAGAAAAGAAAGCTGTATCTCCAGAAATCTATCTTTATATAGCATTTCATATATTTTTAAACATTTTTGAACGTATTGTATTAGAAACATGAACTTCCTAGATCTATTTCAAAATAAGGGAAAATAGTTGTGAATCAGCTGTAGTTTATTAAGCTACTAAGAAGTGGTAAAGTGTCTGGGGTTTTTAAAAATTCAGGCTCTTAATATTTCTTCTGAGTCTAGGAAAGGATATTTCATTGCTGATTTGGAATAGTGGAGAAGTGAATCCCTAGAGAGGGGGATTTTGAGACATGACCTTAAATAGCAGTTATATAAACCAACAGCCTTTCATTCATTTAACACAGTGGGGAGCATTTCTGTGCATACGATGAAGGCTAGAAGAAGAGGAGAGGTGCAATATCACTCCTATCTTAAAGAGAATCAATTTCTCTTTGTTTGCTCTGTCAGCTTTTCAATTCCATGAGCTTGTTTTAAAATGTTTCAAATATAAAGCATGGGATATGTTGGGCAGTGATATTTATTAAGCTATGATGATTTCTGTTCATCTGTGTAAAGCATGTAGAATCAGGTTATCATTTAGTATTACTCAGGATGGCTACATATTACTTCTGGAATCACTGGCAGTACCACATTTCCATGACGAGAGATCAACAATATAGGAGACAAAGTGCCCTTATAACTCATTTGTGTTTTTGTATTAGGATTCATAACTTTTAGAAGGAGATTCTGCGGAAAACAATTCTACCAGAAGATTTAGAGGAACATACAAAGGCAGCTAGATGAGCCCCACCACAGGGGAGACTCACATGGCCAAATTACTCCTTGGGCCAACTCTCAAGGGTTATATCTTCCCTGGATTATTCTTTTCCAGAGGAAGAAACAGATATCCCTGAGGATCTGTTAAAGACAAACCTTTGGACCATCAGGGTTTGAACAGTCCCCCACTTTTTGGGACTACTCTACTCCCCCGCTTTTTGGGACTACTTCACTACTGTATTAAAACATGCTTTGATGGGCTGGTTCTCATCTGATTATGCTATGCTACGCATTACAGTTTAAAACCATGATGGCTAAATTCCCACTGAATGCAGCCAAAATCAAATACACCACATTATGGTTTAATATGATGTGTGAACACAGGCTAAAGGGGTTCCCAATTATCATTATTCATGGGCCCAACTGTAAAAACTCTTTGCATTTTGTCTCTTATTTATGCTCTAGTCACTCATGTTATTTACATGTGTTTAATCATAGGGACAGATTAAAATAATATAATATGATTTTATACTGCATGGAATCTTTTGATTTATAACTTTAAACTGCAATAAATGTGTACAAAACAGGACTGCAATTCTCCTGAAACAGAAGGCAGATGCTTATTTACCCACTAATTACAGCAGCACAGTTAAAACTAAATTTTGGAGCTTCTTCCCATAAATGTAAATGGTTTGGATCATTCAGCTATTATTATTGAAACTATTTAGTTTAAGAATGGACTTTTTCAGGTCAGTTTAGTATATAGCACTCAGTATATAGCTGACTTAAAATCACATAGTTGAAATTATCTGCTGTATCTGATCAGAAGGTGTCTATTCTTAAACTAAATAATTTCAATAATAATAATTGAATGTCCACCATCTACTTCAAGATAGCCATCATTGAACTATAGAATGTCAAAACTCTGGGCCTGACATTCATTTATGGATCTTTTTAATCACATTGAAGATATTAATTTAGCCAGTATTTATTTACTACATTTCTGTACTGTAGTATATTTCATACTTCCAAGGGACTCATGTCAAAATGTTTCTGTTATCGCTGACACTGCCTTTTTGACATTATCACTGTTCTTTCTGCCTTTTGCTTTCCTATGATTTCACAATTCATTCACATCTTAGCATCTTATTTATTTTAAGACTTTGTAAATTGCATAACCCACAAATTAAAACTTAGGACATATATATAAAATTTTTGAAATCTGGTATATATATATATGTAATACAGTAAATCTGCTGTAGTGTACTGTATATGCATACACACCCCCAGAGAGAGAGAGGAGGCAGGGAGAAATCAGGAAAAGAGTGCCCTATGAGCTAAAAGACAGGATATAAATGAGAATAAAGAAATAAATTAGCTAGCTAGCTAATTGACATGCTGAGCGAGAGTTCTGGAAGTTGCAGTCCTAATGCCTCTAGAAAATGCTAGGATGGAGAAAACAGGCTTAGGTCAATATCCCTGACATAGTACAATGAAGTTACCTCAAAATTATAACATAAGGTAGAGTCATATGTGTAGATGTTACATCATATTAAAATCCATCTTTAGGGGAAAACTAACATGTTTGGGCAGAGCTCTAACCCAGCCTTTCCCCCCAAACACAATTTTCTATGTAGCTGTAAGAGTTGCAATCCTGTACTGTATACCAAACTTGGGATATAAATCCTTTTCAATTCAGTGATACTTGTTTAAAGTACACGTGTATAAGGCTATATTTTCAGTTTTACACAAAATATTCTGACAAATTATTCCCACTTTACCTATTATGAGTCTTTTAAATTAGACTACTTATGCATATTAGAATTTAGTTAAATATGATTTACAATAAAGCATGATTGCAATTCCTCTTTTCATATGCCAAAGAATCAAGATGGCTACTCTTTAAGCCAATCAACACAAGTTAGACTTTACATCAATATGATTATTTAGTGTAATTTTTAATGTACCTTAGTTTGTGTCTGCATTATAAATGCCTTTCCCATACAAACTTTTCAGAATTTTGTTTTAGCAACAACATCTTGAAATACTCTTTTCCTTCAAGGTGAGCATCTTGAGTATTTCAGTGAAAAGGAATATCACCTCCTTCCAGGTACATGCCAAAGCATGTACCAGGCAACTATTTAATCCAGGCTATTATTCCTACTTTAAAAGCTGTATTTTTCCTTAATCTATCAACAGTTGCTGTTGTTAAGTGAATCCCACACCACTGTTAAGCAAGGATGTTATGTGGTCGCCATTTGCGACCTTCTGCTGGCTTCCCCATTGACTTTGCTTGTAGGAAGCTGGCAAAGAAGGTCACAAATAGCAATCCAGTGACTGCGGGATGCTGCAAGGCCAGAACTTCAAGGACCGGTCATAAGTACCACTTGTTCAGCGCCTTTGTAAGTTTGAACGGTTGCCAAATGAGTGGTTGTTAAATGAGGACCACCTGTATATTGTTATATTCTTATAACTGTTATACATCTATGACTTTTCTGAATAACCTCTTGATACATTATAGATGTGCATTGGAGCATTTATGATCATATGTATCAATCAAAATTAGGAGTTATATTTGATACAGAAAGGAAGGAAAATATGCAAGAATGTTCTTTTATTACTTTTCAGAGGAACAAATCAACTACATTAATTATTTCACAACTTCTGAAGAAAAGTGTGTATTTTGATTTACAATCACATAAATATATGCTTTCAGCTATAGAAAAGAAGCAGTATAAGTATGGTGTCTTAGTACTACAGGACAGAGAAAATAGAAAAGAAGAAATCTGAAAAAATTGATAAAAACAATCGAAATGACAACTTTTAAGGGAAGTGTCAAAGAATGAAGTTTCTGTTTTAAACAGAAGTTTCTGTTTTGAACAACAGCAACAACAAAAACACCATTTCAAAACACTTGCATTGCGTCAGCAAATATTAATGTTTATTTATCCCATTCAATAGGAAATAAACCACAATTCATGACATGTAAGGAAGATCAAACATAATTTTAAACCAGGTTTTAGAGTGAAAGTGGGAAACTCTTGTTACACATTTAGCTCTTGATATTTTCCTGTCATTGCCCCCTTAGGCAGAGTTTGGCAGACCATCAATGAGTTTACAGTTTTATTTTAACCATAATTCCTGGTTTAAATTCAATGATAAGCCAGGATGCAAATAAAGTAAACCTGAATCTTACTTCATTCTTCCTCTTCATGCAGAGAATTAGAATTGAATCTGAACCTAGCATTTCATGGTCTTCTTTCTGCTGGGATGTACTAAACTACAGTTTAGCATTGCATTGTGAACACATATCAGTTTGGTCATACTAATTATACATTCAGAACATACGAGCTTTAATGGAGGTTATTGCCTGTAATGTTTCCATCACTCATTTCAATGCAGATAACTCATAAGCATATGTATTATTTGCCCAGAGAATATCAGTTATTGGACAGCTTAGAAATTTAATCAGTAGTTATAATAATTTATTTTATATACATGGAATAACTATGTTGTATGAGCTAATGGAATTCTATGCACGAATTGGAGACTTATTTGTCTGTTTGAATGTAGATGCTGTGGAAAAAAAAAAGGAACTTGGCCATTTTTTAAACATAAATTATTCATTCATGAAACAGGAAAAACTCAATATGAATTAAATACTTCAAGTCTTAAATGAAACCACCACCACCACCACTGTTCTATGGTTTAGCTTCTACAAACCTGCTGTTTATTTTCTCATTTGCATCTTTTTCTAGTTTGATGGGTTATTGGTTCTTGGTTTCTTAGGTTTTGCATAACTTCTTTCTTCTTCCTGTCAGTACAGTATATTAAGCATTAAAACAAATTATATTTACATTTAAGAAAATCGAAGCTGCTATAACAAATGTCATCTCTACCTATTACATAATTTTATGTTAAAATGTACATATGATTTACCAATAATTGCCGATTACTATTCATTTGTATATCAAAAGCTGTGATTAAAAAAATAATCAAAATATCCAGTACATCTTAGGCCCTAAAACATAAGCATTTTACTATAAACAAAACAAGCATTTCTCTCAAAATTGCAGTTTAAATAAAAGATGAATAAGCAGTGAAATGTGTTTTGGGCATTTCGAAATCTATACAGGTGGATACCCTATATCAACAAATCAATGCTTAATAGTCTTAAAGAATAATAAGTATATTTCTTACTATCTTAAGATGAGATTTATTCAACAAAATATTTTATAATATTCAATGGGCACTTCAAAGAAAGTTTAGAAGGAGATGGCTGTGAACATTATGCTGAGAGTGAGGCACATTTACACATGTGAAATGAGCTGTCATCACATTTTAATATTTGTAAGTTTGTCAAAATAGTTTTGGGAAGAGTAATATGATTTAAAGATATGGATGTCATTTTGAATTATAAACCTAAAATTTGGAATTTATCCTTATATAAATCTGTGGACTTACTGAGCATAGGATTTAGCAAAAAAGAAAAGAGAGTGGAAGACATTGCTAACCCAGATTTACAAAACTGGATTGACAACATATTTTCACTTCCTTCCTATAAACTGGCTCTTTATTCATGTAATGGAAAGTCTGATCAACATTATTTTGTGTGATCAAGGCTTAAAGCTATATCTGAAAACTGAGCTTTTTTTTTTGTCCTTTTTGTCATTTCTTTCTGTTGTTTGTGTATCATTTTCCTCTTTTTCTGTATATAAACAAAAAATAAACACGGAATCAGAATATGGAACAGGGAATGTGAATATGAATATTTGTGAGCAAATAATTATAAAAGTTGTACAGCTATTTTTAGATTAGTCTTGTTTTTAAACTATTTTATTTCACTTGTTACTATGCATAATAGTATTCACATTCACATTTGCGTAGGTTGACCCAAAATGACTGTGGTTACTTTTGCTGGGAGAACAGTTTTGAGACTTATACTCTGCAGAATTGTTTTCTGGACCTATTTCAATCAGGGTTTCTCTCAGAGTAGTCAGAGCAGTCTGAGACTGCTTTGGTTATCTTGATAGATGACCTATGTCAGAATCTAGATGGAGGAATGTGATTCTGCTAGTTCTGTTGGACACCTTGACACCTTTTGATCATGATAGTCTTCTGAGCTGTCTGGTTAAGTTGGACCTTGGGGGTATTGTTTTTTAGTGGTCTTTCTTGTTGGGACCTGACAAGAAGGTGGTGCTGGGGGACAATGATTCAATACCTAGGTTGGTAATCAATGCTGTTTCACAGGATTCTTGTCTGCTATGTCATTTAGCATTTACATGGAACTTCCAGGGATGATCACCCAGAGTTTTAGAATGGGATGCCATCAATACACCAATAAGACCTAGCTCTACCATTCCATAGTCTCTAATTTCAAGGGACCAATCAGTACCCTTGAACACTATTTAATCTCAGTAATGGGGCTAAATCACAGAAAACAAGTTAAAATTAAATCCATACAAGACAGAGGGTCTCTGGGTAAAGAGAAAACTGAATTTCCAGATTGAGGTGAAACCTGTCCTGAATGAATTGCCTCCCCCAAAAAGAACAGGTTTGCAGTTTATTTTTTGAGTCTCACCTACTGCACTGCTAGATTGTGGGTGGCAATTGTGGTGTTGGGCATGTCTTGTGCAAGTATGCCTCCTGAGCCAGATAGAGTAAGTGACAGTTAACTATGGCTTGTTTGCAACCTGTCTTGATGAATGCAATTGCTTTATGTGTGGCCACCCCCAAACACTGGCCAAAATGTACAAATGGGACAAAATGCTGTGGCTAGACAGTTGAACTGTGCAAGACACAAGTCAAATTATACCAGTACTAAAAGATGTACAGGCTGGAAGAATCACAAGCCGGAATTAAGATTGCAGGGAGAATCATCAACAACCTCAGATATGCGGACGATACCACCCTAATGGCAGAAAGTGAAGAAGAACTAAAGAGCCTCTTGATGAGGGTGAAAGAGGAGAGTGCAAAAGCTGGCTTGAAACTCAACATTAAAAAAACTAAGATCATGGCATCTGGACCCATCAATTCCTGGCAAATAGAAGGGGTAGAAATGGAAGCAGTAACAGACTTCATTTATTTGGGCTCCAAGATCACCGCAGACGGAGACTGCAGCCATGAAATTAAAAGACGCTTGCTCCTTGGGAGGAAAGCTATGGCAAGCCTAGATAGCATATTAAAAAGCAGAGACGTCACCTTGCCGACAAAGATCCGCATAGTCAAAGCTATGGTTTTTCCAGTAGTAATGTATGGCTGTGAGAGCTGGACCATAAAAAAGGCCGAGCGCCGAAGAATTGATGCCTTTGAACTGTGGTGCTGGAGAAGACTCTTAAGAGTTCCCTGGACTGCTAGGAGGTCAAACCAGTCAATCTTAAAGGAAATCAACCCTGATTGCTCATTGGAAGGATCGATAATGAAGCTCAAGCTCAGATATTTTGGCCACCTAATGCGAAGAGAGATCTCTTTGGAGAAGACCCTGATGCTGGGAAAGATTGAAGGCAAAAGGAGAAGAGGACGGCAGAGGATGAGATGGTTAGATAGCATCACTGAAGCAATGAGCATGAAACTGAGCAAACTCAGGGAGGCAGTGAAGGACAGGAAGGCCTGGCGCAATATGGTTCATGGGGTCACGAAGAGTCGGACACGACTTAACGACTAAACAACAACAACAAAAAGATGTTCTCTATGATTTAAGGTGCCAATGTTGATTTTTAATGGCCTTAAAGGCTTAAAATTTGATTACTGTATATGCAGGACTACCTTTCCTGCTGAACACCTGCCCAGTTACTCAGAGCAGCAGGAAAGATCCTCATGAAGATGCCATCACTGGCAGAAGCTTAACTATAGGATATTAAGGAAAAGGCCTTCTCCTGTGTGGGTCTCAGGCTATAGAATGTTCTTAGGGCTCCTACTCTCCCAGTTTTTTTGAAAGATGTTAAAAACACATACCTCTTTCTTCAAGCTATTTATTTATTTATTTAGTTATTGTAAATTGCTTTAACTGTTGGAATAAACAGAGAAGCAGAGTATGCATTTAATAATAAAGTGTGCTGTTATTGAAGATAAAATTTTCAAAAAAGAATTAGCTGCAATTAATGTGAAAATGTTCTACCTAGGAATTTGATATAAAATGTTTTACTTTATAAGTGGTAAACAATTTCTTTTAAAGCTCAGACTTTTAAGCTTAGAAAAAGGGAAAAATTGCAATTTCTTTTGAATGGAAAGACTAGGAATGGACCATTGCTGCCTACTGTTACATTTTAGTATTACACCTCTCTCTCTCTCTGTCTTTATTATTAAGCTCTTACATAGCTACAATTTTTAAAAGCAAAAGAGACTTCAGTTCAGTATAAAACAGCATAATATTAATATTATTCCCCAAATAGTTTTATAAACAGAATATGGAATATCAGTAACTTAATGAGGACATTTAAAAAACAGAATAGATCCAAAATGGTTACATATGATTTTGAATATATTAAGATATTATATAGTAATTCAAAATTATATATATAATGTTAACCATTATACAGTTAGATGCAGTATTGTGGTAATTCATTCTGATGCAACATGGAATTCCTTAGGAATAGCGGCAGGAATTTCTTGGCACTATTTGAAGTGCCATCCCTCAAATGCCTATAACTGGGGTGGACTAATGTTTTGAACAATCCTGCAGTTCTTTGCTGTTTGTCATCTTGGTTGATGCTGATCGGAGTTGAAATACCTAGAATGTACCAGGTTGCCTATTCCTAGCTTATAATATTCAATTCTACGACCCAACCATTTTTAGAACAGCAATTGGATTGCATATTCAGATTCTGTTGATTCTGTTGATTTTCTTACAAAAGATATTCCTCAACTACCACTTTCTCTTTCTCTTTTCTCTCTCTCTCTCTCTATACAGGTACTCTTTGCTTAACAACCACAATAGAGACCGGAAAATTAGTTGTTAATCAGTGTGGTGACCTCACCCAATTTTGCAACATTTCTTGCAGCGATCGTTAAGTGAATCACCACAGTTGTTAAGCAAATCACGCAGTTGTTAAGTGAATCACTCGGTTCCCCATTGATTTTGCTTTTCGAAGCTGGCTGGGAAGGTCGTAAATGGTGATCACGTGACTCCAAGACACTGCAACCATCATAAGTGTGACCTGGTTGCCAAGCACCTGGAGTGTGATGATGCGACTACAGAGATGCTGCAACAATTGTAAGTGCAAGGACCGGTTGTAAGTCAGTTTTTTCAACACTGCCGTAACTTCGAATGGTCACTAAACAAATGGTTGTTAAGCAAGGACTACCTGAATGTATGTATGTGTCTATGTGTGTGTGTGTCTATGTGTGTGTCACAGACAATAGAAATTAAGAGGAAATTGGAGAAGGTCATGATCTTTCCAAGTTGGTTCCCATGTCTGTAATTGATTTTGACTGTTAAAGGGTTTTAAGTTGCACAGAACTCTTCTTCAGTGAAACTTTGATAATGGAATTTAATGTATCCCAGAATTAAATAAAAGTGTACTACATGTTATAATACATTTAATTAGCCTTTATGAGAATTATGCAAAATTCAAAAGTTATACCAGCTTATATTTTCTGCCATCTAATGCCATATACTATTAAATATTCTTACTGAAATCAGTTTTAAAGATGTATTCATTTGCATCCTAGAAAAGGTTCTACATGAAAGGGAATAAAGGGGTATACTTTATATCTTGCTATTTCACAAATTGATACTTCTATTTTAAGAAGCTCGGAGATTCTCATGATGTACAGGCCAGGAGGTTTTCCATCCTGGTGCTGATCAGAGTGAAACATGTGTAACACTGCCAGTGCAATATCAGCATCTATGTTCAGACCACTCTTTAAAGACATATCAATACAGAACTTTTCTGTATAACTCAATTCTAATTTAATAAGCAGACTTGATACATGTAGAACACATAGAAGCAATGCAGAGCCTAAGACAATTCATATGAAAAAGCAATAGGCATCATGAGAAATTTCTGGTTAAGCATGAGGAGTAACATACTTAAGGTATATGTATGGAACTCAGCACAGTAAAATGCTTGCTCCCTGCTTTTTATTCTTACATTTTGTGTAAATCAGCATCATGAGAATCTCCTGAACTGCCGTGTTATGCAAATCTGTATTATTTACTATACCTGTAGATAGTTAAAAGGCAGATAAGGGCTTGATGTCTTAGCGATGTCTTGATATGACACTGATTCTTTCCAATCTCCTTTTCTGTTGGATTTATTGGATACTGTCAGACCTTCAGACACTGAATTGGTTAATCTGTAAGCATTTCTTTTTGTTTCCTTCATTGGATTCTGTATGTTATTCTGAAATATTCTGGGAGTTCCTTCAGCTACTGCATTGGTTTTCTTCAACCTCAGGAGATTCTGGCTTTCACTGAGATTTGCAGATTTATTCAAAAGCTGGTGGATGCTTGATGTATGATGCTTTGATTGGTTATCAGCAGATATCAAAGAACATTGTAGCTTTCTAGATTTGATTTTACTGGAATGTTTACCTAAAACTGTTCTATTAGGTAAAGGGAAGTTTAACAGGTACCCAACATCTTTATTTTCTTCTTTTAATGCAAATTTGTTAGATCTAACATTTTTTCCCACCTGTATCTGAGAAATACTTCCATTTGTAATATTTTGAAATGATGTATCATGTAGTGATTTGTTAACCTGATCTGCACTGGGTCTGAATACAGCCAATTTAGCAGTTGTATTAGCTATTACTATTTTTGGTAAATCTTTTGAAACATTTTTTGTTTTCTTTTCATCAATTCTTTTAGTGAACTGCCTATCCATTTGCAGTAACTTTCCTTTGAAAATGGGTATGATCCTTGTAGCTTTATTTGATTTCAGTGTCAAAACAGAATTTTCTGATGTTTTCCACTGTTGTCCATTATTGTCTTCGTCTCCCACTACTCCAGCATGTTCATCATCTGAAAAAGTGTACAGTATTTTAAAAAAAATACATCAGTTTTCAGCTGGTTGACTTTAAGCTCCACCTTGTGGCTAGTTTTTATAGTACGTGCTAAAAGTTTGAAATACAGTACCTTTTTTTGGAACTACTTGAGTCAAAGGTACCTTGCAGTTCCTTCTTGCAGTAAGGTTGGCTGGTTTAGAGTTTATTTTCTAAAATACAGGAACCAAATAGAAAAATTTGAATTATATTACACATCACTAATTAATTTTATATATTGTATGCACTATGACATTGTCAGTATTTTGTAATTAACAATTATATCTGAGTAATACAATACCAGAAAATTAATAGCAAATGTATTTTCTAGATCTCAGTAACTTAAAATAATATAATCTTCTCATGAATGATGACATTGGAGAAAAATGAATGATTTGGATGCAGTTATGGATCCATTCAAAAGGACTTGTACTTTTTATTAGGAGATTGAAAGTGAACAATAATGGACATTTCCATTCCATATCAGCTGTGTTGGAATGAACTTACAGGTAGTCCTCGAGTTATGACCATTTGTTCAGCGACTGTTCAAAGTTACAACAGCACTGAAAGAAGGGACTTACGACAGGTCCTCAAAATTCTGGCTGTTGCAGTGCCCCCGCAGTCATGTGAACAAAATTCAGGTGTTTGGCAACCAGCTTGCACTTATGACCAGTTGCAGCATCCCATGGTCATGTGATCACCATTTGCGACTTTCTCCGTCGGCTTCCCACAAGAAAAGTCAATGGGGAAGCCGGCAGGGAAGGATGCAATCAAAGCCCCATCTTTTTTTAGGTGTTGGGCTTTGACTGCATTGTTGTGGGTGCCATTTTGACTTTTTTGACTCCCTGTAGACACCCCTGTCCCCAAGAAAAAGTGTGACTACAAGTGCTAGGAAAAGGAATTTGGAGCAGTATCGTATATTCTTGAAGATAAGCCAGAATTTTAGGTGCCAAAATACACCCAAAAAATTGGGATTGGCTTATCTGCAAATGGGCTTATCCACAAACAGTACCTATATATCCTGCATATACTCGTTATAAGCCCATCCACGGATTATCTGACCCTCAATTTTCTTAACCAAAATACCATGAGAAATGCACCACCTATGGATAAGCCAATTGTGAAAATTAAAACATACAAAAATTTTGAGGGTTGGCTTATCCACAAGTGGCACATTTTTCATGCTATTTTGGTTAAAAATGTGAGAGTTGGCTAATCCGTAGATGGGCTTATCTGCGAGTATATATAGTATGTAGGATTTGGAAGCACCCAGTAAGAAACTGAACATACAGTAAACAATAGGTCAAATTAAATGAGCCAAGGATTCCAATGTCTCCACACAAATGAAAAGTATGGGGAGCAAACAAGAAGAACTAGAAGGCTTAAAGCAGGAAGGTGATGTAATGGCCCAGACAAAATGGACAGAGGAGTGGCATTAATAGAAGAGAATATATGTAGCTCAGGGTTGAACTGTGGAGTTCTTGGGGTTCTCTGAGCTTGGTTTTCTTGCAGGTAAACATTTCATTACCCAGCTAGGTAATCTCGTCAGTGCTAGAAGGAACCCCAAAGACTCCACAGGAGTGACATTATATATGAAAGAAGTGCACACATGTATTGAGATCCAAGAATTTGAGCACAATGGTCCAGTCAAAGGTATTTGGGGCAGATTACGAAGAGGAAAACAACAAAGATATTATTGTGAGGGTCTACAGTAACCAGGTGTAAGAACTGGATCTGGATCAAATTACAAACTTTCAGAGAGAAGATACATAGTTATAATGGAAGACTTCAACTATCTAGACATCTGTTAGAAATCCAATTCATCCAAGACTGCAAGGTCCTAAAAATTCTTCAGTGATTTCACTAACTGTTTTATTTTCTAGAAGTTTGAGGAAGAGACTAGGAATCAGTTCTCCTAGATGTGATCCTAACAAATAGAGAAGAGCTAGTTGAAGAGGTAAAAGCAATGGAAATTTTGGGAGGAAGTGACCATATCATCTTGGGGTTCAAGATACTATAGGAAGAGAAATTGGAGCATAGTTGTACACACACATTAGATTTCAGGAGAGCCAGTTTCAACTGATTAGAGAATTATTAGGCAGGATTCTGTGGACAGAAATCCTAAGGTCAAACAAAGTACAAAAATAAAAGACTGAAAATACAATAGTGCCCCTTCCAATGAGAAAATAAAAGGGGTGGGAGAGAAACTTAGGAAAGCCACTGATCCATAGGGAACTTTACACTAAGCCTTTATAAAAAAATGGAAGGGGCAATAATCATCAAGAGGGGCATATTAGTCCTCGTTTAGCAACTGCCTTGTTTAGCAACCATTTTCAGTTATGATGGTGATGAAAAAGTAACTTTATGACCAATCCTTGCATTTACAACTTTCGCAGGTGTATAAAGCAAAGGAAAGCTGAAGTAAGATCATAAGCACAGTCATGGTTTCACTTAGCAACCAC